AGTGGTAGACGGAGTTACGGTCCTCCCGGGTGACGTGGGCCAGGAGGGCGCTGCTCACCGTGTACAGCCCGCTCGACTCGCGGGTCAGCGTGGCTGGGATCTTCACCACTGCGGGGGACACAGCTGCTGTTCTCAGCCCACGGGGAGGCCGTGGGAGGTGGGGAGGGCTCTCCTGGGAGCACAGGGCTGCTTTGGGTGGCCACGGGCTGCCAGTCCCCAGCCGATGAGACACTGGATAGCACAAGTGCCCTGGCCCCTCTCCTGAGCAGGCAGGTGCAGGTCCCTGTCCCCATCCCCATCCCCACCTCCCTGCAACTCACCCTTCTCCTCTGGCTCCAGCTGCTCCCCGTTCTTGTGCCATGTGATGTTGGGGGGCGGGAAGCCGTTCTTGCTTATGCACTGGGCAATCTGCAGTGGCAGAGACAGCCTTAAGCATGGGGTGCCCCCCAAGGGGAGAGGGGAAGCCTGGCACGGATGGGAGCCCCCCTCTCTCACGTGTAGAGCCTCTCCTCACCTCCGAGACACCAGTGCTCTGCACGGAGATGCCTCCTTGGTTGGCCTTGATCTCAGGGGCCTCGGGGACCTCTGGAAAGAAAAGCCACACCACATGTATTAGGAGGGATAGGACAGGATCCCCCACCAGCCCCACAAAGCACATGGCGGTGCTGCTCTCCTGCCCCATCACTCACTGTAGACCTGGAGCTGAGTGCGGTTCTCGTGCACGCCGTGGCTGCCCGCCTCGACCTGGCACACGAAGGTTCTGGCATCCTGCACCGTCACCCTGCTGATGGAGAGGGCTTTGTCCTCCCCCACCGACAGACGCCCCTTGTACTCCAGGTTCTCCTCCACGATCTCGCCGTCCGTGATGCGGCACAGCCTCACACGGCTGTTGCGGTCGATCTGCAAGGCGAGGGGCCAAGGCTGGGCTGATGGGGAGCCCGAGAGAAAGCCCAGAGCTAGCTGCTTCCCCAGCCCATGGCCCACCACTTCTCCCACAGGCCAGCACTCACGTAGAACCAGTTGATGTAGGCGTAGGAACCATTTCCAGGGATGTAGAAGTTGCACTCGATCCGGGCCGTGCCCCCACTCTCCACTTCGACTACTGCCGGCATGGAGACCTCCAGTTTGCTGGCTGCAGCTGTGGGACAGAGCCCGTCAAGCATGGAAAACCTCAATGTCTGAGCCGGCGAGGGAGCTGAGCGCAGGCTTGTCCCCATCTCCATCCCCCAAAGGGCATGGGGTAGAGCTGTGTCCTGTGCCAGCATCCCTCAGGCCCTGCTCCCACCTCCATGCTGCCTCCTGTGTCCACAGAGCCCGCGGGCTCAGGCCACCAACCCTGTTCCCAGAGAGGGGATGAGGCACACCATCCTTGCACCACCAGCTGCACTGATGCCCCTCACATCCCGGAGCACACATTTTACCCCGCCTCTTCCCCAATCCAAGCCAGCATCCCAGATCAGCACCCACCGCACCTTTCCGGACCCAAGGAGGTGGCGGGAGGTTAGCAGATGGAAGGGAAGGGGCACAAAGGCTGCACCTCCTGGCAGCCCAGGACCAGAGCCCTGACGTCAGCCTGCATAGCCCCGCAGCAGCCCTGGGAGCTGAGGCGTGAATGAGGCGCTGTGTTCCTCCACAGTGGGACGGGGCAGCCCAGGAGGGGTATCCCAGCCAGCTGCAGCCATCTGCTGCTCCCTTTCCCCTTCCAAGGCAACAGGGCCCACTGGGGAGGCAGCATGCCCCTGACCACCACAGCCATGGCGCAGCCAGGACTCCCAGGTCCCTCCCCAAGCTCTGACCCTGCCACCTGGGCAGGAACCCAGAACCCAGCGGTCAGAGCATCCAACCCTGCAGCATACCCAAGGCGAACCCCTCGCTGCTCCCTGCCCAAAAAGCAAACCCAGCGCTGCCCACCCATAGCACAGGTCGCACAGGGGACCCGCACCCCCTGTGAGCAGAGCCTGCCCACCCCAGCACCCCATCTCCCCACCCAGCCCAGCCGCCCTCTTGCCCGCAGCGGTAATGGAGCTCCTGGCCACGCTCCAGAGTGGCAGGGGGGG